AAAAAAAACTCCAGAGGATAAAATTACGCGATCATCTTCTGGAAACACACAAAGAAGACGCATATAAATACAATCGCATATAACGAACACAACGGCGTGGACAGTTTAATACTAAACAAGCTATTTGTGTTGCCTCTGGTTCCCATTTTTAACATCCTGCTCTGCACATGAGTTTTCATTTCTGGACAATTTTCAACGCGGACTCAAGACTCTCGAAGCGCCAGATACAGCAGTATAAAGCAGCGATTCGCCCAGCGCTAAAGCAGAAATCGCAATTTCCTAATTCCAACCTCTTGAGAAACAGAAGGGACTTCACAGAGGCGAAAAGACGACTCCAGTACGAGATATTTTTCGTTGAGGAAGAAAACAAGACATTTCACACGCCTGCCGTTATGGGAGCAGTCTCTATATTAGTCAACCACAGAACACAATTAAACGAATGAAAATAACCACCCATATACAGAATCAAAACTGCGAGCTCCTTTTCATTTTAAAAACTTTTTTTTGTACAGAATATACGAAATTACCATAAACATTAAAATACATTCATGCTTTCTTTTTTTTTTAAACATTAAAAGTTCGTGTTGACGCGAAACCCGTTAGGGACAGCTTGCTTAGAGCAAGAAAACTGTTAGTCCGAGCAGCTCCAAACCAAAAACAGGTTTCGTTGCAAAAAAACAAAATGTAGTCAAGTCCGTTGTGTGCTTGTATTTGTAACACTCTTTAACTTAGCGTCCCGGGGGGAAATTAAGATGCTTTTCCTAAATATGCAAAGACAGGGTAAACAATATAAAGAAATACAACATCAAACCGCAATGCAGCTTTTTTATATAAAAGAAAACGTCTTTGGTTGTAAATTCCCTACACACATTTCCTGTAAACAGGAGAGAGGAAGAAGACCTGCACAACCAGTCGCATCGTTTATGCGGAGGCCAAATAGGGGAAGAGGAGAAATCGAAGGAGTAAACTAATGAAACGAAACACATTTACATCACATTTTCACCATTTATAAGACCGTTTAAATAAACTATAAGGTGCTTCCGTGGTCCAAGGTTAGGTTATACTGGAGGCCGTGTTTAGTGACCTCTGGAACGTAGAACTTTAAGATAATAAGAAAACGTGTCTCCATGCAAGTGTCTGGTCTTCTGAGTCTCTGGATGGTCTCTAGTCCGGTCTCTCCAGGCCTGCGGCGCCGCTTCAGAGTCTGGGAGGAGATGCGTCCCGGATCTGACTGTCCCCGAGACCCCGAAACCCCCCCCGGAGCGTCACAGGGAGAAGTGTGCAGTCACGTCTCGAGCCCTGTGGTCTCGGGTCATTTTTTTCAGTTTCATCCGCCGGTTCTGGAACCAGATCTTGACCTGGCGGTCAGTGAGGTTGACGCTGCGGCTGATCTCTAGGCGGCGCTCTCGGGTCAGGTACATGTTGAAGAGGAACTCCTTCTCCAGCTCCAGGGTCTGGTGTTTGGTGTACGGGCAGCGCTTTTTCCTTCCGGCTTTCGCGGTCAGCCAGCCGGTAGCGGCACTTTCAGCCTTTGAGTCTTCTGCCAAGTGAGAAATAAGACTTTTTTATTCACTTTTTAATTAAAAAAATGTTTTCTCTGTTGCGCGTCCTATATAGAGTGTACGCACATAGACAACACCTTCAACGTTTGACCCTTTACATTAAGTAAGCCGTCACTGAAAAGCAACGATACGATTCAAGGATCGAAATACCGGCATACAGCAGACATTCAAAAGCACACCACTGGTGACCCTGGGTCTCCTGATGGCTGATGAAGATTCCTGTTGTTGTACTGCCCCGCTACTGCAATGTAAAGCCATCCCAGCAAAAATAAACGAAAAAAAAATGCAAAACATAAAACAAATGTTTTGCACCTGATCGTCCAGGTGACAGTTACTGTCCTAGCACGATAAATTCTCGTTAGTTTCCTCGTTTAAAATGAACAGTTCCCAAAGGATGTACAGTACAGTGTGAGAGCGAGGGAGAAAGTGTGTTTGTGAATTCAATCATAAAAGTGATTTATCTAGTTCTTTTCAGAGGGCCATCTAACGATTAAACCGCGAATACGTGGACGATTTTTAGGATTGAGGATTTGAGATTAATTGAATAATATTTGTGGCATCCGCTGCACGATTTTCTTCCAGGAGTGCCGGAATCTTTCATCTGACGAGTTTCCGCAATCTCTTCTCCGCTGTGTGAAAAAATGCTTTTTGCTAACAAAATAAATCTACAATTATGCAAGTTCCCGTTTTCCTCCAGAAACGAGGATACTAGTGTTCGACCTGATACTAAATTTCGACGTTAAACGAAATACATTAGTAGGCCTAATCCATAACTTGCAATTTGAATCAGTGAAAAATTCTGAAAACTACATGCGATACATTCTACAATTTGAATTTATCATCTGACGCATTATCTTTATCTGGGCAGCTAGCAGACAATTATTTTAATGTACAGGAGCAATGTGGGCATATACAAAATTATAATAAAATAAATGACTATGAAGACAAACGAGATGTTCAATTTCAAAGACACTATTGTGTGTATTACATTGGGCTTATCACATGAATACCTTAGTTTGTTACTACTGGATTTCTACAAATTTGTATTATTGGGGGGAAAAATAATAGAGTATTATTATATATTAATATATTATAGGTTTTCTCACGGTGTTCTAGATTTATAATGGGTTATTTCTACTTTATTGTATTATTTTTTAACTATTAGTTTTGTTAATATGACTTGTACTCGAAATGTTTGGTTTTTTCTTCTCAAACTAAAAATAAAAAAAGCGCAAAATTTCAATCCTGAGGAAAGATTTTGGTGTCTGCTGATATTTTTTTGTCTGCCGTTGGCTCTCCGAAAAGCCGAGCATTGACGTCGAACAGAGCCATAGCGCCGTTGTCGTACTGTTGCCCCTTAACGACAAAACTCCCTGTTACAGACACGGTGCAAAGGCAACAGTTTTAACCTACTGGGTGGCTTTTAAAAGATGGTTACTGAGTGGTTACGTCTGCTCCAAAGATTTCAAGTTAAGCCGGAATCCAGTGTGTGCACGGGGGGCTCGCGCTGATTAAATTCTTGCACCAAACCCCCCCGGAAAATCAAATCATTTCTAATTTGTTGTAGGAGATTTTGCACTGCAATACGAAAACGTTTTTTTTTATTTTATAGAATGCACACGGCCGTAAAATGAACGTTTGGGATTGGGTTTACTCTAGAGGATTTAATTCATCCTGTAGATCGAGCAGATCTGGTAAAAAAAAAAACGCTCCCCGCATGCTGTTAGTTTTCATTTAAGGGGATATGGCTTTCTCTATAGATCTGGGCTAATTGCTCACCTATAGCCTGCTATACTCTCCCAGTTCACAAAAGAAGCCTTCCGTTGTTTTTGATGTTATAAAGAGCACAGTAAATAGTGCAATTCAGTCTGGCGCTGGGGCTTCGGTGCAATAAATTAATTTTGTAAGCAGGCGTCCTTTTTTTGTTGTTCTGGCGCCCCTTCCTTTACAGCCTTTAGAAAATCACCTTTTTTTCCCTCTCAGCCGAGAGGGAACCCTGTTTTCCTGTCGTTATCATCAACGACGCCGTTTCATCTCGTTTCTACTGTATCTACCCACCTTGCGCGTCCTGTCCAGGAGTTTTATCGCCTGCAGGAAATTCCGAGAGGGGTTTGTCCTGTAGCAGTCCCGGAGCTACGTCTGCCTTGCAGTTGTTGTTGTTGTTGTGGTGGTTGTGGTTGATGACGATGATGCCGTGGCTGCTGCCCTTCTGTGGCGGACAGAGGGGGCTGCCAGGTGTCACATCATCGCTCGGGGTCTTCTTGTCCGATTCCGTGCAGTGCTGCTCGGGAAAGCCCAGGTCATACAGCTGCTGAGAGTCCGAGTGGGACGAGGAGGGGTGGGCGCCCGGAGGCAGGTCCGGGGCGCTGTAATCGAGGAGTTTCAGCCCCGTGTAGGACTGCTCCGGACGGAAGTAACCCTGGATGGGCCCGGCAGCGCTGCTCATCGAGCCCATCTCCGACACGAGTCTGGTGAAGGCGGAAACATCTGGCAGCGGTTTAGGGTGCTTGGCCGTTTCGAGGAAGAAGTAGGAGGAATCGTCCTTTCCAATGGACGCGCCGTAGGGACAAGCGCTCACCTGCTGGGCTCGCTCGGGGCTCGGGTGCTCTCCCCAGTGCGCCAGCCCCGGGTGAAACTGGTGCGAGGGGAAACCCACTGTCGGCTGCGACGGCTGGCGGTGGTGCGGATTCATTTTCCCGACTTTGTCCGGACTTGACACCGAAGCCCAGGGATCCTGGGCGGAACCGTCGAGCTGATAGATGGCGCAGGGAGACTCCCCGTGACCGCCGCTTATTAAAGAGTTAACAGAAAAAGCGTTGCAAGGGGATCTTTCAGAGCATGACATTGCTAGGGCATATTTTGGCGAAGGCGAAGGGGGTCCCTGTCAATTGGCGTTTCAAATAGAAAAGCGTTTCAGGGCTACTTCCTGTGCGGGGGCCAATCAGAGAGCCAGCTGTCCGTCCCGACTCCTCCCATGCGGTGCTGCTTCTCTTCAACAAGCATAGTCGCCGAGGCGGACATCCATGTTTAATTGATTATAAAAATAGGATACAGATTTCATTTTTGGGGGGCTTTCTGCTCTCACGGAGAATTCAATGCATTGACCCGGTGTTAAAAAACAAACACTTGCCAACCTGCAGATAAAGTACCCATAGATGCGTTGGTCTTTTAGATATCTTTTATAGCCTGCGTGGTTGCAGAAAAAATCTGCATCGTATTAAAACTAGTTTTCTCTTCGGTGCTCGGCTTCGCTTTAAAGATATGAAGAGCGATGATCAAAGATGCAAACTGATACCGATCGCTGTTTAAGCAAGCCAGTCTCCCCGAAGTCTAGTTAGACATTCGCTTTGGATCTTAAATAACTTAATCAAATCACCATCTCCAGGAAATTTCGAAGCACTTATTACCGAGGAGATACTGGCGTTCAGCACTCTAAGGTTTTTCTTTTAGTTAAATTAAAACTAGGGGCGGCTGTTAACGAACCGAACAACTTGATTTCGTAGAGCTAATTTCACAGAGGCACTCCACAATATGAAACAAGCCTTTGTGCTTGCGAGCGAAACAACAATTCGTTCAAGTGCTTCTGCGAGAGAGGCCGTATCTCGTTTTATTTCCACAACTGGAAACAAAATGTCAATTAATGGTTAGTTTCATTTCTAAGACTGATTTTCCTACAGTGGTCACAGTATTGACGTGTCCCTCGGCTTCTGAACCCTTGGGGTAACATGTACATTTTACCCAGTAAAAACAAATGAAAACTATGATTTTCTTTTTTTTAATAATAGAATAATTTGGTTTCTGTATTTCAGTCCGAGTAGGATACGTGTATATTTTTTCGGTATTTGTAGTATTTGTAGAACAGTTATAAAAATGGTTTCGACTATTTTTTAAAATAAATTAATGTTTTTACCACCTTTAAACGCGCGAATACAATTAACAGATTTAAAAATATGCAGTTTATTTTAAAACAGAAAGATGTATTTAGTATATTTGTGGCTATTGCAGGTAAAAGATTCTTTCGAATGTTCGGCACAGCATTCGAATTCACAATAATCACATTTTAAAATTACGGAATGGAGAAATTAATCATAAATCGAGTGTATTTTCTGCAAAAAAATACGATTCAGAATCAATGAAGAGATCTAAATAATAAACTCCGTTTACCTTAAATACCTTAGTATTTACAGGATAATAGTAATAAGAAGGTAAAATCCTACACAAAAGTAATCTGTTTATAGTCGTGAAATGTTCGATTTTTTTATTTTTTGCAATTTCGTTGATGATATCTAGAGTTATCAAACAAAACATAATCGAGTTAGGGAAAATGTTTTGTTGGAATAGGGACAGTGCAGTTTTACCATTAGTAATTAACAACAGAATTCTGTCGTTGTTAACGGAACACTTGATGCGCGAAAAATGATGAGATTTTGTTAGTTCAAATTCAAAGGAAAATAAAATGTTTAGTGTCTGATTTGATATTTGCTTTTTCTTGCACATTAATAGATGCACACTTCTGACAAAATCCATGAGTGCTTTTTCCATGGAAACCATCCCCCAAAGTATTTTCGTTTCTGCTTTCCTGCACAAACCAGACACGCTAAGCAAAGTCCAAGGTCTACTCGCTCGGACTCACCTCGAATCCTCACCTTTCAATTTACTGTGCCAAACACTTGATCAAGAAATCAGAACAGATTCATTCTATTTCCCGATTACCTACGAACAAAACTGGATCCATACCAACACCGCACACGCAACACTGTCCAAACAATGTGAGAATACAGATATATTTGTGTATCGACCCCAAAACCCTTTGTCAAGGAATCTATATATGGGTCGCATTCGTATCGGATTAAAAAGCGGAGGGTTTTGTTTTGGGCAGAAAAGGCAGGAAGGCTCGGTTTCCCTCTGACTCTGGGATATCTGGACAAGAAGTCGCCTGGTCTCCTTCACGTTGACCTCGTGGTCACATCGCCATGGGCAAGCTCAAGTTGGAGCGCGTGCAGTCGGGTTGCATAGAGATTGTGCCGGAGCTTTCATCTTTGCAATAAACAACATGCTCGGTTTTCTACAAGCCGCCACGCAATCTGAACGAGATCCATATATATAAATATAAAGTCTGTGCACTCATTCTAACAAGAGGTTTTGCATTCATTGTGGCCGTCCATTCCAGGACATTTTCAAAGCTATGAATTGGAGTACACAGGTAATCGTGTTTCAAAATCTGAAGTCCCGTCTTTAAAATACGCAGTTTTCGGATTTGTTAGAGCCTTAATTTGAAGCACAGCGATGCATGGCTGGAGGTACAATTTACAAAGGAAATATTGAAATGTATTCCAATGTCGACGTGCCAACACTGTTAAGCATGTACTGTAGTTTCAGAAGCTCTGTTTCGGAATCGCGTGTGTCGAATTAAAGTTTCTCTCTCTCTCTCTACACGCTAAAGACAAAATATCTGTCTTGTTTCTGTACTTTTATCACGTAAAGGCCACGTAACTCAAAATCCGGGCCTGTGCACCGTTTTTTCACACCGTTTTCACACCATGAAGATTGATAACGTGTAATGGAGTTTTAAACCAAACGAAATAAGGTAAATTAAAGCTACGATACCGCAGTGTGACTTTGGTGTTTTAAAGAAATACGCAAATAAACAATGCATTTGAGATCTTGACCAAAAAAAGAAACCTGCAAAATGTCCGAAATAGACTCCAGATGTCGCTGTAGCCCCAGTGCAACCGCGTCAGTCGTGTCCTTTATTAATAAAAGCAATAATGGAAAAAATGCAGAAAGCCATCGCTATCAGAGTCTCCAAGACACGTGCGAGAACAGGCCTTGAAAGTATCTGCCAGTTAAATAAGTTTCATATTAAAAGCAATGATTCTTTTTAAAATACATGAAACGGGAAATTCCTTTTACGGATTTGCGTATTTGGAAAACAAACCTGTACCGTTATTTCAACAGGACAGAGTCTACTGATGTATGTCACTAGGAAAAAATGTTTATTCGCATTTTATGGAAGACCTATCAGGATATGAAGGTCGTGGCTTTGTTCATAGTTGTCATATCTTGAGTCAATCGGTCACAAAATGACGAAATATCACCCCGGTTTCAGCCCTTTATTGAAATATTACTGTGCGCCTTCTGGTCTGTGATAGGTGACACATCTTTTTGCCTGTTTTTAATTGAAAGGCATGGGTAGGCTCGGACAACAATAGAACCCGGAGAATTTGCAGAGAATCAAAACTAAGCTTTTCACTCATTCAAAAACAAAAATGAGACGAAGACTGCCTCGTGTCTTGTATTTTTCAAAACCCACATATAAAAGCTAACCAGCTTGGCCTGTTTCCTCTCCTTCTGCCATAAAACCCGAGTGAGAAACCAGAGATCTGTGTACTCGATGGGGGGAAAAAGCAGTGAGATTACCAAAAATATGTTCCGCAGAAGGAGTGTAATTATGGGAATGAAAATAGGAAATATAAACCACTTTACAGGCCCGATAAAAAAAAAAAAACAGTAAACCGAGGCACACAGCTCATGAAAACCCCCGACACAGCCGATAGTGCAAAACAGCGTGTTTTTCTTTTAAAAAAAACTGAAAATAAAGATCGCAGCACTCAAGAAGCCGAAAGATAGTTAAAAAGTTATCTGTCGGTATTTGCGGCTTACCAGATTCCGAAGAGTTCCGCTTGGCCTCAGACTCATCTTCTCGAAAAAAAAATCAATTTTAAACCCAACAAGAGGGATATATATATATTCTTTTCTATCCGCTCCGGGCTTTAAGAAGTTCAGGATCAGTTTTATTACACTTTCTGCTCAGTGTCACCGGTTGCACCGCATTGACTTTGACGGCGCCGCTCGTTGGCCTGTTTATTCTAATCCTATTTAACATTTGCATGTACACCGAGAGAAACAGAGGGATAGGTGCCTCACTTTTTTTCGCTTTCTCTTTAAAGAGCACGAACGCCTCCTGATTTTTTTCCATCTCCTTTCTTAATCACAAACAGAAATGCCCCGGCTCTGCAGCCGCTTAGACTATCTGATGTGTCGGGCCCGTATAACGGTATCCATGACAACTATAGCAACCCCACTATTTCTATAAAGTTTTATGACTTAAAGAGATTCTAAACGCCTCACCGCTGGTTCGGAAAGTAACGCGATCGCTCTGTTTTCGACACTGCTTTCAATGCTGGTATTATCTGAAATTCGTTTCGTTGATAAACTACGGTCTGGTGGGTACCTTGAGCTGTAAAACAAACACGGACCTGGGCCGGCGCTCGCTGAATCAAGACTGGGGGGTGCGGTGGCAGGTTTGGGGCTGCTCGCAACGCGACCCAGAAGCTCAATGGTCGAGAACTGGGGATCCAGAAAACTCCAAGCCGTTGCCCTTCACCTCCTCGACACGCATCGAGCCAAGGGTCGTGCCTTCAAACTGGGGCTGCAGAGGGCGAAACCGCGCAGAGGCGTCCAATCTGTTCGGAAATCGCCACGCGCTTCGCTCCGCTCTTTCTAGATCTGCTCACGGGCGGAGATTAATTCAACCGGCTGAGTCGACGGGGCAAAAATAAATAAATAGAAGAACAGTACAGCGCGAGTAACGCTCTCTCTCAAGCCCCGTACCTGTCCTGATGTTACCCCCCACCAGTCAAACACATTAAGCAGGCACAGGGTGTGCAGTTGTTAAAACATAAAGCCGGTGTTCCACTGAGACATATCACAGCGTCCAACCCGCTCTTTCAGCCCAGATAAAATAAGCACTCAGGTTGCAGCTCATTAAACGCAGAAACGCAACTGTACATTTTTCTTTTGTAAATGGTGAAGCTAAGATTTATTTAAATAAAAAACGGGTGACTGAGGTGGGTCAGGGGAGGGAGAAAGGGGAAGGGGGGGGGTAGGGCCGGTTTTGGGGTGTTTGGGACAGACACCAACCGATCTGAAGCCCAGGGCCAGATCAGACCGCGCCGGACGGATGTTGTTATCTGGGTTGAAGCTCACTGACCTTGCTGTTCACACGCAAGGCAGCCTAAACGGACAATAAAACGTCTGGCAGCCCGACTAGACGAGGTTCACACAGCTTGAAGAGGCCGCAACACAAAGAAACCGACTGCTGTTTATAGGAAAGGAAATGAAGAAGTGAGCGGGTAAAGATTCGCCTCTCATTTGCAAAGTTGTGCAACTAAGCCGATTCTAGGCAAACGCGCCCCTGAAACCCAAGCAGTCCGTCGCCGCTTTCCTTTGGAAGAGTAATAAACTACCGCAATGAAAATGTTTCCGCTGAAGGAGGTTGTTTGGGGGGAAAACAGCGCTTGGAAACAAAAGTTACTCGTAGCGTTTGTTTCACGAGTAGATCAGGATCAAGTATTACCAATTCGCAGCCGATTCACCTTCTATTCGATAGGGTGTGGTTGGGCGTCTCGGATTTTGCCTCAAGTTTTCGTGGGCTATCACCAGCAAACGGCGTGGTTTAATTTTACACGCAGAAGAGGTCACCGACATTGAATTAATACATCAGGCGGCCTCTCCCGGACAAGTTCCTTCGATTGGATGATGTTTGTAACAAAAACAAACTGGCTCTAGTCGCTTAAGGTGATTTTAAGCCAAAGGCCATCGACAAAGACACAATCTAATGAAAAAATTCAATTCGCCCTGGCCAGCAGGTCTCCAGTATGTCGCTGGATAACCTTGAACGCCTGGAGCAGGGTGCCCCTGTGCTGGGAGTATACACTGTGACTTGTGCAGTACAGCACCCAGTTGCTAAACGATTTTAATATTTAATTCGGTAGCGGAAAGCACCAGGAGAGCC